TTAAGCAAAGGAGAGGCAAGTTTCTGCACATCTTTGTTCAATGGAAGAGTTTGTTCATGCTCTGCAACCATCACAGCAGCTGCACGAGCCAAAGCAGCCAAGTTCCTTTCTAGACTACGAACGCCGGCTTCCCTTGTGTATCTCTGAATTATATTCTTTACCATAGCCTATGGCCAATATAAGAAGAAGCAAAAATTAGAAACTGCATAAGCCCACCCCACTAGAAACAATTATCGCCAATACATCAAAATTATCAAAATAATAATGATGTACCTCTGGTATCTTAAGGAACTCGGAACTTAGTCCATGTTGATCTAGGACTCGAGGAATTAGATGGCGCATTGCTATCTTAAGCTTTTCCTCTTGAGTATAACCTGGCAACTCAATGAGCTCCATCCTGTCTAAAAGAGGAGGTGGAATAGGCTGAACCCTATTCGCAGTGGCTACAAACACCACCTTTGATAAGTCATATGGAACATTCAGATAGCTATTTTTCTGTTAAGGGTAACTGTAGAATTTCCATAAAATCGAGTGGCAAACTAAACCAGGTATCATCTGCGCATCTATGAAAGAATATGTTTGTTGCCTAAGAGTAGGTGAAAAGTTCAATTTCAAGATTTAAAATTCGAGAAACTTTCAACAAGCATAACAAAGTTTGGACGCTGAATCTAATTTATTTGTTGAAGAAGGAATCAAGAAGGATACTGGTCATTAAAAGATTTGTTCTGCTCTGGATCCAAAACCTCCAGCAGCGCCGAAGCTGGATCACCCCGAACATCCGAGCCTGTTTTGTCAATCTCATCCAACAGCATAACTGGATTGCATACACCAACCCTCTAAAATCCAAAACATAGAGAAACGCTTAGGGATAAAAAGATATAACAAACCATCCAACATGATTGTAGTCAAACAGGACATTCATTAGAGGCCTCTACACTGCAGTGTTGCAACTACCCGTTTAGAAAAGGTAAGTAGCAATCATTTTTTATGATCTACAATACTTTATTTAACTTATAGTTTTCAAGGTTAGACAGATGGACCAGCAATCAATTTTATCTGCTATAGCTTGGTTCCTTTTTCGAAACAAATCCTAAAGTTTCTGTGTCTTCAGCATAAGATAGATATGTCTCCTCAGAAAACAGAAAGTCACCTTTAACCCATCAATGAGGCGCCCTGGCATGCTCCCTATGTAAGTCCTTCTGTGTCCTCTAATGTCAGCTTCGTCTTTCACACCACCCAGAGATAAGCGAACAAACTTTCTGCCCAACGCAGCCGCAATGGATGATGCCAAAGATGTCTTTCCCACACCTGGTGGACCAACGAAGCACAAAACTGGGCCTCTCGCATCTGGTTTAAGCTGGCAATGGATAAGTTTCAGTCAATATAAAACCAGAAAAACCAGAAAGCTAGATGGATCACTCGTAAATAGAAAAAGAAAGACAAACAAACAACCTTTCGAACAGCCAGATATTCAATGATCCGTTGCTTGACCTTGGTTAAACCATAGTGATCACTGTCAAGACGTTCTTTTGCTGCTTTTAGATCCAACTCACGTTCTTCGCTTGCCTTCTCCCAAGGAAGATCAGCCAACAGCTCCAGGTAAACTCGCGAACTGTTATAACCAGGTTGCTGAGGTTGCATCTTTTTTAGTCGCCTGCATTAGGAAATGAAAAATAAAATTAATGGTAAGGAAATTATGTCTTCAATTTCTTCCAGTCACACAGCCATCAGCAATTGTCCTCGAGCACACCGTACCTCAATTCCCTTTGAGCATGCTTCCATATGTTTGACGGCATTCCTGCAGCTTGCATCTTTCTTTCAAGTGCAGCTA